AGAAAAATACTTTTGATTAATAATAATTATCTAAAATGTTGAAAAGTTAATTATTTTGAAAACCATATTGACCACGACATTGACTCAATGGAACCAATCATAATATTCAAATTAATAATACAAACCAATTCCCAATTATTAAAACATAAAACATCACCAAAAAAAAATTATTAAAACATAAAAAAAAACACCAAACTAGAACAATACTTGAAAGATAAAAACCATATAATCATATTCTTAACACATATTTTTTCGTTCTTTTTAGTTCATGTTACCAACGGCTAAATTCGAACCACAAATTCCATCAAAAACACTCAATACTAAGCCTCTTGATACCTTTTGGAAGTTGCTTTAGTTTGGCCACCGTTGCTTCTAACTCCAACTTCTTTTTTGCAGGAAGCGACGACGTCTCAATCATCAACTTCTTCGTTACCCTCCCTTTTGTCACCAAAAGTGAAGCGAACGCCAATTCTTCCTTGTTTGAACCACTGAAGTTATACATTTTCACAACTTTCATGCGGAAATCAGGATCAAAAAACGAATTTTCTTTCTGCCACATCTTCTTTTGTTCTCCGCCAATAGACGATTCACCTTCTTCCTTAGGAACATTGCCATGCTATATACAAGAACATACATATAAACATGTATCAAGTTTTATAGATATTACAAGTAAAGTGATTAAAGAAAGAAAATTAGTTGACTCCATCTAACTAAAATTGAAGCATAAAAGAAATGTACCTTAAAGAAGATCTCAAGATCTCTTATTTCTCCATCCCACGCAACAAAGACTTGTTGTAGCATGTAAACTTCTTTTGGATTCATTAAATCCACACTCACAGCCAAAGATATAAACCGCAGCAAATAGTTAGTATGTTCAATCACCACGTATACATATCCCATGTTTTCTTTCTCCTTCAATTCATATAAGTAAATGAAACATGTCAAACAATATAACAATAAAATTTTCTACATAAATATATATTTAAATGCAATTGCTTGTGTTTGTACCGGAGCATTATGTGAAATATTGTAGCTCATGTCAGGTATATTTCCGTTTCCAACCCAATAGTTTTTGCTACACTGGAGTAGTCTAGGAGCAGTGAGAACGAAGTTATCTTTCGGGATAAAACAACCAATGGAAAAGATATCAAGAAGAGCTGCGGACACTTCAATGCGATTAATATAAGTGCAAGCCAGATGCAAGAGGTTTAAATTGTTGTTATGAATCTTTAAACAACCAATATGGTGGTACCACGAGATTTCTAGTACCAGCACTTTGAGGGAAGGGCACGATGCAATAATTGTGTTCAACACACCAACCTCGACGCATATTTTTTCAAGCTTGAGAACCAATAAATTATGACAGCCGTTGAAGCCATGCGCAGTTTCTAAATCGTATCGATTTAGGTAAAGTGTTTCGAGGGTTGGATGTGAGAATATGTTTGGAGAAAATTTGATCACTCTGGCTCTCTTACGATGACCAAGAAGGTTATAAAGTACGAGTGTTCTGGTGTGTTTCACATGAACCACTGATTGAATCCAACTTTCGAGCATACCATTCCTAGATTGGTATGAGAAATGGTGGATTGTGCAGCATAGTAGATGGCCATTGTGATTGTTTATAACCTTCAAAAGAAACACAAAATTGATGATTAAAAAACATAACTAAACACTTACATAGTATCAATAAAAGCCAAATCTTTTATATCTTACATCATGGAAATTATGGAAAACAATTAAAAAGATGTTATAAGTCTCGCTGATAAAGATATATGTATGTGAAGTTATAGTTTATCAATTGTTAAATTATACTCCCTCCGTTTCATAATATAGAATGTTTTAGAGTTTTTTTTGTTTCACAATATAAGATGTTTTGATATTTTAAGGTACTTTTTACCTTTTATTGAAAACTGTGTGACCAATAATCTTTTACAATTTTTTTTATAGTTGGTTGAATTGTTTTAATTAATATATTAAATTCTACTTTTTGAAAGGAAAAGTTTTTTCTTAATGTTTGTGTTTTTGGCAAAACATCATATATTATGAAACAGAGAGAGTATAAATTGAAGGATAATTATATTAAGAGATTATGTTTTTCTAGATTCTCATTAACTATAATATTAGCTCATTCCTAATATATACCATTTTTTGCGCGAAATGGCGTTAATCACTGAAGCGCGTAATATTGTTAATTACTTATGCGTGTAATACCGTTAATTACTTACGCTCATAATATTGTTATTATATTTTTCGCGCGAAATATTGTTATTTAGCTATCTCTATATCGTTTTATTAATAAGTTGAAGGATAATTATAATAAGAGATTATGCGTTCCTAGATTCTTATTGTCTAAAATGTTAATACATTTGCAATCAATTATCTACGCGCGCAATATCGTTATTTTATTTTTCGCTCAAAACTTCATTATTTAGTTACCTCGATATCGTTATATTAATAAGCTGAGGGAGAATTATAATAAGAGATTATGCGTTCCTAGATTTTTATTATCTAAAATTTTAATACATTCTTTATCAATTATCTACGCATGTGATATCGTTACTATATTTTTCGCGCGAAATTTCACTAATTTTTATATTTTTGAAATAATTGGTTGAAAACTATAAGAAATAAAATAATGAAAAAGAGAAAACCTTAGTAATCAGTTCAGCAACAATATTAGAACGAGTTGCCAGACAAGTCAGGTCGTAGTTGAGAGTATATTTCATATCAAATTTGAGAAAAGGCAGTTGTTTCCAAACATCCTCCCATCGCTTAGATAGTATACATGTCTTGACAGCTTCTTCTGTGAACAAACTTGTTAGGATCGTGAGCAACACATCATCAGGGAGGTTGCTAATCCGATCAACGTTTTCGACGATAACCCGTTTGCCTCTTGCATCTAATGGTAGTGATGATGGTAATGTATACATAGATGAGATTGACAATGAAGCAAAAGAGATTTGTGGGAGAGATATGAAGAGAGGAGTTGATTTTGACTTGGACACGAAGCAAGAGAAACAAGGATGTGAGATTCTATATATAGGTGAGGGAAAGTAGATGAAAATGAAGATATAACTAGGATAGAGACAACGAAGATACTTAGATGGTGTTGTTTTTACAAAAATTTAAAATCCTAATTTGATTTTCATTAAAATTATTAAAATTGTCTTTTTAATTTTCCTTTGACATTTACTAAAAATTGAAAACAATTTAACAT